TGTATCTTTGACAAAGTTATCCCATTCAACCGGATACAACTGTTTTAAATACTCTAATAAAGTGACACGAGTGTTTTGATCCTCTTCACGAATAATTTCACGAAGTGAAAGAAGAATTTTTTCTGAATAATGAGGAGTTAAAACGGTAAATGTTGGCATGTTTTGAACTGGTAAAGGACTTGGGATAGGATTTGATAAACTTTGTGCAAAGAATGTAATACGACGTTCAGCTTCACTCATTGATGGATAATATTGTTCGCTATCATTACGATCTTCAAAGACGGTAGGTGGTTTAATTGAAGATTCACCCTTAAAGATTTTTTTTTATAAAATGTTAATAAAATTTTACAAAATTAAACATAAAGTTTCTCCCAAAATACGAACCTTTTGATAAATTAATCCTTTAACGCTTTCAACTGACAATATATGCTCCCGACACATGGCGATAATGATGGCATTCCAAATTTTTGCCACAATATCTTTTGGTTGGTATTTAACGTTTATTTTATCGGAAGCTAAAATTTTTGAATAAATACGTTCTGGTATCTTTGCAAAGTCATTCTTCCAGGGAGTCCAAATAGAACTTCCATGTGTGAGGGTATGAACAACTGAGAAAATTGTATTCCAAATTATATACCAAAGATATGTATCCAAAAAGAATAGTACAAGATCCATAAAGAACATAATAACAATAGCCAACACTGGCACCAAAGAACAAATTGTATTACCAGCAAGTTTATCACCACAACCAACTACCCTCATTTTAAACATGGCTTCAAGAGGATCTTTAAAAGAAAGAGACAAGAAAAAGTATGATTCTACCAATTTAAATCCAAAGACGCAGCACCAAAGTCCAATCGAAATAGCACGATCTTTAGTATTAAGGGGAGCATAATTTGATGTAAAGGCATGAAGTGCCTCATATTTTTGAGAACCTTTTGATGGACCACCGAATAAACGAGCACTTGGAACTATAGCAAATGTTAATGTGGTAATCAATGAAATAAATAATTGGCCCATTGCTATTTTCAATGACAAGGATCCTGTACGAGCTTTCACAATTATATAATAAGTTGGAGCCGAATTTATGATGAACACAATAAATAAAAATGTGAATCTACGAATCAACATTGATAAATTATATCCCGTCAATGGAATGAAAAAGAATTCGCAGATATTTCCAATGATCATGAAAAGGGTTGAAATAGCACCTCCGAGAGCAACAACAGACCATTTTACTGCTGGTTCATCATCGTTTTCATCTTTATATAGAAATGGCGCATTATAAGCTGTATAATACCAAAAGACTGCAACATGAATAATCCATATACGCGTAAAGTTAACAGCCAAATGGAACCATGTTCGTTTTTCTTTGTATGTCTTAACAAATACACGATCCCAATTCACTTGATCAAGCATTAAATAACGTTGCCCATGAGGTAATGACATAATACTCAATTGTTTATCTTGTAAGGTTATACGATCTATCATTTCCGGATACCAAAAAAGTTGGTTGATATCATCATATCCAATTGTTTCAGCATGATCTTTTTCTTTTTTCACGAATTTTCCGGATACAATTTCATAACTTTGATCACGGATGTAAAGATAAAGAGGTGTTATAACTTTGCGAAGATATTCTCCTTCAGGAACGGTTGATTTACATTCAGAACTATTATAATAATCATTTGCTAATTTGAAGATGAAACATAAACATTCGCCCATAAAACGAACTTGTGATGCTTCACCCCATAATAAAAGCCATAAAGCTAATTGGCGAACTCTATCTTCTTGTGACATCGAATTCATTCGTTGATTCCATTGATCCTGAGTATCACTTTTTGAATCAACCATCGGAATTTTACCGGTAACAGAATTGTAAAGTGCGTCATCTAAATCCATCTTTGCAATAAAATACCATTTTCGATAATTAGCATTTACTCCTCCAATATAATCAGCATGAAGAGTTATTAAAGCTTGAGATGGTGTCATCCTTGAAGCACGAGAATCCAACATGCACATCAAATGATCAAACATGTTTCGCATACTTTCTTTTTGGAAACCAAACTTATCTGAAATATCAATGAAAATGTCTTCAATTACTTCTTTTGATACAGGGATTTGATGATTATCAGAACTCCAAGCTGTATAAATCGAGCGTGATCGTTGATATTGTTCAGGAACATGAGGATAATTAAATTCAAAGCCATCATTATTATCGTTATTCTTATTACTATATCCGTAATCATTTGAATTATCTCTAATGTGATCTTGTGAGTTTGATGAATTACTATATAAAGGTTCTTCTTGTGAATCTAGACCGTTACGATTGAAATCTTGGTGAATATAGTGAATTTCTTCATGAGCGGGATAAGCTTCAGCCGAAATATCACTATTATTATCATTATAATAATCCATCAATTCATAACTTTCTTGATTTGGTGAATCAATTCTACTAGAATTTTGTGAATCGTTACTATCTAAATATGAAGCGGGCGATAATTGTTGATTGTGATAATCACGTCGATTATTCGGAACATGAGAAAAAGTGGGGATTGATACTGGTGTATCAGGTGTCACGGGTGATATTAAATATTGCTGCGGCTCGGGACAACTAGGGCTTACTATTTTTGGACTAGGACCTCGTGGTTGAGTCGGTCTATATAAATTTTGTTGAGGAAAGGTTGGAGCACGTTGTGGTATAGCCCTAATTATATGATTTTGTGGTAATGGACTCGTTGGAGCACGATATAGCGTATTATGATGAGAATGTGGTGGTGGTTGTCTAGGAAATGGTGGGCCTCGTGGGCGCTGATGTTGTTGTGGAAGGAATTGTGAAGATGGAGGTGCGAGAGGACCACGTGATGGAAATTGATTTTGAGGACTGGATACTAAATATGGGCTAACTGGATGAGGGCTTCGTGGTCCATGAACACCACTATACCCCTGTGTCAATATTTGTGGATGAACATTTAATCTTGGAGGAGGTCTGCCATTATTATTACGATTATTAAATTGATCATAAGCCATATGATTGTTTTGCTCTTTAATTTTTTTTGTAATAAAAATTGATCAATTCTTTCGTCAATAATTTTCGGTAGCCTTTTTAATTATTTAAGATTTAAGGCCAGCCGAAAAAAGAAAGAATTAAGAAAAAAATTAATTAAAAAATTTCTCTATTTTTTTTTTCCAATTGAGATGATATCTATAATATTATTTACAACGGACAGAATCGAATTAGAAAGAAGGTAAGGACGAAAGTAATTATATATATATATATGTTATAGCTAAATTTTTTTTTAAAAAAAAGATATTAATGAATGAATTATTGGTTAATCAAATTTATAAAAGTAATGCATCACCTAAATTTTTAACTACAAATCACTTAAATTTTATGATTAACCTCCGATTTCGATTAGTGGGTCCGAGGGGATCGATCCCCAAAGATCGACGTCGCATATTAAAAATTTTACGACGTCTATCTTTTTGAAGATCGATTTCTCCGGACTGTTAATGATTTATATAAGCTTTAAGTTGAAAAATTGGGTGGTGCATTACTTTTGGAATAATCATTTGAACTTACCATACAATGCTTTTTTTTTATTATATAGATAATTTTTTGCTTTTCAAGAAAACTTTTTTTACCACTTTGTTTGTAGTGGTCAAAGGGGACACTATACTGATGATGTAAACATTTGACCTTTTTTTGTTCAGAAAAAGTTACAAAAATTAATTTAATAAAAAATTTTCTTAGTATTTATTCTTTATCAAGTCTGAAAAATTAGAATAAATATAATATTTACAAGTATGAAGTATGGAAGGAGAGAGATTAATATGCTAAGTCGTCAAGTTTTCTAAATACCAGCAGAGTTAACAAATACAAATAGAGAAAGGAAAGAAAGGAAAGAAAGAAAAAGTGGGTAAAAGGAATTAATGATAATTAGATTTGGAGAGAGAGAGGAGGAGAGAATAAAGCTGGTTCAACTCGGTCGAAAATTTTTTAAATTAAACAGATATGTGTTATCGTTATTGTTATACCAATTATTTTAGTACAACAAATTAACCTATTTTACTGAAAAGTATTGGGCTGAAATTCTGGTACGCCGGATCATTAATCTCCACTGTACTACTATTCGGATGTAAACCACAGATCAGTTAACAAATAAAATATCGACCTTGACCATTTAAGAAAAAAGAATATTCTTGATACTTTTTATTTATTTAAATTCAATATTTCAGACCCGTTATTTTCTAATTCCATCACTTTTAATTTCCTTAATCGGTGCAGATTTTCAAGAGATTTACTATGGTAATATAAATAGTTTTGGTATGTCATGGCTGTAGGTCAGGGAATGCCAGCTCGGAGGAGCTAATGTCTCGAGAGTTTGCTCCTCCTTGACTGTGCGTGACTGTCCCAAGACAATGATACTTTAAATTCTGAAAACGCACATTTGCGGCGTAGTAGACAATGTAAGATAATCTATGTACTAGTACTAATTATTATTGCATTTACCATATTATCGTTCGAGGTTTGAAAGCTTTCAAGGCTTCAATATGGAAAAAGGGATTCCCCCAGATTATAGTCTAGAAAAGGTTATGACGAAGATTAATAAATTAAAATACAAACGCAAAGATATTAATCTACTTTTTTGAAAATGAATCCTTTTAGGTTCGATTTCCTGAACTTGGTAAACCTAATTTCCTGAATCGGAAGTTGATGTCTTTAGACAAGCTCTCGAAAACATTCACCCTGCATGGTTTTCAGCGATGGTTCGGAACTTGGTGTGTAGACAACAAAAATATTAACCTCGAGAAAATATGAAATGCACTATTCCTGATTCGGTTATAGCAAAATGTGATGAATTTGAAATATTTTTCATGACGGACGATGATATAAAAGTGTGGTGATGGGGATAAGCTTTACTGAAGCATTATGTAAACCAGTTGGTAATCAATTCGGGATTGGTGGAATTCAGATTGCCACTATGCGATGAAATCTTATGAAGGTTCTTGGTGGTTTACCGAGATATTTCCATATCGATCATGCCGAAATTACCATCACCACACACATCACTAAATCTCTTATTCGCTTATTATTAACCTTAAAGGTATGTTATGATTGTGAATAATAGCTCTCCCCATATATTAAATAGTTGAAATTCCATGTATTTTATTCTGTAATAAATATGTAGATAAAGAAATTTTCATAGATCACCAATTAAATATATAAATTTATATCTATAAATAACGAAAAAAAAATTGATCTGTTTAGCAAATTCACTTATTCTCTTTCAAACTACGCGCTTTATTTTCTTTCTGCTATATACCTTAAACAGACGAGATGCAATTTGCCGGTTCCTTTTCGTACTCACCTACAAACTCAAATATTTATTGTGTAAACCTAGGAAAGGACGTGGTTTTAAGAATCGAAATAATACAATTTCCAACGATATAGCAATCCCAGGGGGGATTATTGTGAGAGATACAACCCAGGAATCGCATCTTAAGTCGAATATATCTTCGGGACTACTTCATAACCTGGTTTTACGATTACGAAATAATAAAGTAGTTGTTCAATTATCAAATAAGAAACAATATTCTGTATACATCGTCACCGGACTAGGACTTTATCCTTAGTTCGTCAATTTCCGGCCTATTATCTTGATTTACCTTTACAAATGATAATGCAAACATGTAAACAAAAATAAATTTGCATAATTTGCTTTTATTTCAAAAGAAAAATATTTTGGCATAAATAATTATATATAAATTTCTAAGCGTAAAAATTTTACATCTAAGGCCGGGCAAAATAAATTTTTAGATTCTCGTGACAAAAAATTTTAAAATTGACTCGGTCACTCGGTTTTTATTTTTTATATATAAATTTTTTTTTATATGTACGTTATATTATACTGCAGTATTGGGAAATTAATCATTGGTTAATGTCAGTAACACCAACACTTTTTTCACCCGACGTGACCAACTTGTCAATAATCCTTAAAAATAAAGTATAAAACTTTGGAAGCAAATTTTAAACTTACATTTTATGTGTATTTTTGTCCGCTCTACAAATTTTCTTAGACAATAAAAGTAGGTTTTGGACATGGATTTTGACTTTTAATATGAACGTTTCAAAATAATTAATTTTACAAAAATCAGCATTTAAAAGCTACTTTTATTCTTTAAATAAACTTGCAGAGCAGATAAAATTAGGTACAAAACATGAGTTTTAAGATTAAATAACATTTGTAATAAGTTTTTATTAATAAAACAAAAAAAAAATTTTTCCAGTAAATTTTGATTCCTATTTTTAGAAATGATTTACAATTTAGTCACGTGGGATAAAAAAGTGTTGATGTTATTGGGAAGATTTATTTAGAAGTGTAATGAGATTTAATTCAATTGCGTTTAATTTTTTCATTATTTTAATAATTCAAAAAAACATTAGAAATTAAGAATAGCTCTATTTTATTATCAAGATTAGGAATAGCTACTCAAATAATATAACAAATAATAATTTGTGTTTGTGTTTCCTATTTTAAAATACTTAACTAATATTATACTTTTTTATTTTTAACTTTTCAGTTTTTTTTTAGATAATATGAGCAGTTAATATCATCTGTGTCTTTGGTAAATTTTTGGATTATGTTTTAAAATAAATTTAATATCATTATTCTTTTTAAGAATATCTCATTCAATTTTTATATCAAATTCATCTCCAATAAAAATATAAAAATCTACAGTGAATATCAAAAAGTTGCTCATAATTATATGTGATAATTATTAGAAAAAGTATCAGTTTATTGAATTAGTATTATTAATACCTTATCTCAGCAAACAACTAAAATATTTTGAAGAAAATATGGGAGCTTTATAATAGAAAGTGAGAAACTCTAAAAAAAATTAAAATTTTACTTTATAAACTAATTATGATTTTTTTAGTAAAATTAAAAATGAGGGACGAAACTCAAAAAAGGTAATTAATAAACAGCTGAAATTATATTAAAATATAATAAGAAGTACGACAAAATCCTGAAACCTAAAATTAGCTGAAACTATATTAAAAACATAGTAAGGGATATAACAAAATTATTTTGAGAGAGTTTCAGCTGGCATCTTTAATTCTGATTTAACATTAATTCAAAAAAAAAAATTTTGGAGCTTCCTTCCTTTCTATTGCAAAGACTTCATATACAAAAAATTTAATCCTAATTTTAATGAAAGAAATTGATTTAAAAAATAGGTTAATGGAAAAAAGTTGAAAAAAACTAGAAAAAAATTTATTAGTCGTTAAAAAAGAGTAATTACCTTTAAGATTACTTGCTGAAACTAGAAAGTTTTACCATATTAAAACTGTGAAACTATTGAAATTAGTTTCACAAATCCATTCCAAAATGTTAAAATGCCAAATTTAATGAAACTACTAAACTATTTCAGCATTTCATTATCATATATCATATGAAATACATATAGTTTCAGCATTGATTATCATTCTTTTCTTTTAGAAATAGCTTATAAACTTAGTTTTAGACTAAAATAGATTAGAAAGATAAATTGGATGTTTTTCTTTCAAATTAAAAATATTACTAATATTCTTTTTCATTTTTTTAAGAATGGTTTTTGAACTTGAATTTCAGACTGGAAAAGTAAGTTAAAGAAGGTAGGATATTTTTCTTTTAAATTAGAATTTGGGAATATTAATATTCCTTTCTTTTTTTTCTTTAGAGATAGATACTAACTTGCCAAATTATACCGAAACTCTATTAAATTTATTATCATTTATGTCAAAATTATGACAAAACTATATCAGCAGTTTTAGCATATTATGTATGAGTTTTGGCATTTTACGTTTGACTAAATGAGTTTTAGCTAACAATCTTAATTACCTCTTCTTAATTATTATAAGCTCTTAAGTTGATGCCAGCAAAGTAAAAATTATTTAATTTTATTTTTGTTTTTTTCATTATATACCAATTTTTTATTTTTATTTGTAGGTATTAACTTAGAAGTTAGAATCAATATATGTTATTCGATTAGTTGTCTTTTTGATTTTAATTTTACTTTTTTGCATTAAATATATACTAATTTTTTTTGTAGGTTAGATTTAGATTACAGAATTGGTATGTGATATTTTTTTAGTTATCTTTTAATTCATTTTTGCTTTTTTATTAATTTATACTAAACTTTTTTTATAGTAATAGCTAACATATTGCATGCAGATTAATTTTATAATTAAATTTGTTTGTATAATAGTAATTAAAAAATTTGTCTCATAGTTAATTATTAAACTTTTTAACATATACTGCTTATATAAATTAAATAATTGATAGAATATCATATGGGAGGTTTGCTAGGAAAATGGGGCTCTGAGACCTTTTTCTTAAAATTAAATTTTTTGATTTATATTAATCTATAATATATAAACTTTAGTTGGTTAAAATTTTATATTACATTATCTTATTTTTTTTATGAATTAATTCAAATTGAA